ACTTTGGGAGGTGGAGGTGGGTGGATCACCTGAGGTCAGGGGTTTGAGACCAACCTGGCCAACATGGTAAAACCGTCTCTACTAAAAATACAAAAATCACCCGGGCTCCATCCTTGCAACTTATTTAACCTCTTGTTGCTCCTTCTCCCGAATCTTTAGATCGTCCTCAATCTCCATAGATTTCTGCCTCTTCTCCCATCTCTGCGCCTCCTCTGCTCTCACTATTCAAATTCTCTGCCACCCACCATTATAACACTGGACCTAATCTGGCAGCCCAGATCCCCAAGGTGTCCTCCCTGCTGTGGTTCTCCCTCTATTCCCTATTGCCTGGCACCACTCATCTGTTTGTCCTGGCTCCCAAATCCTCCTCCTCTTCCCTGACTCTGAGTGGCCTCCATTTTCTGCCCTCCATACCTGGCTGTCGGTCCTTGTTTCTCTGTACATCTAGCTTTTCTCTACATTTTCTGCAATTTGCTTTCTCCTCCTGCTTTTCTTGTCTTTTTCACTTTTGCTGTCTCTTGTAAATCCCTCACCTATCCTCTACTTTTGTCTACAGCTGGTCTTCTCATTCTTCTTTTCTCTGTCTCTGGTTTCCTAATGCTCTCTCAGTCCCTCTGTCTGTCTCTGATCCGTTGGCCCACAATCACACGAGGTTTGGAGGAAGCGCCGGCATCGGGAGGGCGCATTTCAAGAGCTGGATCTGGGCGAGCAAGAACACCCCGAATCACAGGACAGGCCGGGCACCTCTACAGCGCGGGCTCAAGGGAGGCAGGAGGTGACTGCGGAGAGGAGAGACCTGAGAGCAGCAGGGCCCAGCAGGGAGGGAGAGGGTGGGGGCAACAGTGCCTTCGGACAAGGAGAGGATCTGCAGGGATCAGGACCAGGCAAGCGGCCTCGGGACTAGGGTCACGGGTACTGTGCTCAGCAACCGACGAGGGTGAGGCTGGGAGGCGCGCAGGAGGGAATACACCTCTCGGGTGGACTTTTTAGCAGTGCGGGGCCAGGCGCGGTGGCTCACGCCTGTAATCCCGCACATTAGGTGAGGCGGGCGGATCACGAGGTCAGGAGATCGAGACCATCCTGGCTAACACGGTGAAACCGCGTCTCTGCTAAGAAAAGCTTCAAAAAAAGTTGGCCCGGGCGTGGTGGCGGGCGCCTGTGGTGATCCCAGCCGCTCGGGAGGCTGAGGCAGGAGAATGGCAGGAACCCGGGAGGCGGAGCTTGCAGTGAGATCGCGCCACTGCATTTCCCAGCCTGGGCGACAGAGCGAGACTCCCTCTCAAAAAAACAAAAAAAAGAGCGCAGTGCAGAAGGAGTCAAAACACGGTTTGAGCAGGACAACTCTGTGATAGGAAGTGCTCCCATTGCCCTGCTTAGAAAGACTGAGGAATGGGACCAGCTTCAGGGCGACTTTAAACCTAAAAAGAAGGGACTTCCGGACTCCCAGGAGAACATCTCCATTTGCTCTGAGTGAAGAAGAAGATACAGAACTTTGAGTCTGTAGGAGGACCCCACATCATGTGAAGTGCCAGGGACCTGGAGAGCTCAGACTTAATATAACACAGAGCAAAACTCACCTCCACTTGAGTGTGACCGCCCACGCCACGGGATCCGCTTCCTGGTCTACGCGAATCTGCGCGCGCGACAGAAACCCAGGCCTGGAGTGGAACTACGAGGAGGTGAGCAGGGCACCTGGGTGAGGTGTGGGCAGGGCCTGCAGGTGTGAGGTGAGGCAGGAGCCTTTGCGTGAGGTAGGGGCAGGGCGCAAGCGGGAGAGACCTTTGGTACCAGCAGAGGCAGGGCAAGCGGGACCTATGTGTCTGTCAGAGTCCTTCCAGCCTTGTTCTCGGGCACGGCGAGGAGTAGCCAGGAAAGGCAGAAGGATGATTCAAAGCCCTGGGATAGTCTGGAAGGAGGATGACAGATGGAAATGCAGCCCTGCCTGAGCGGAACGTAGGATTTCATGCTGGCCCGGTCCACAGGACAGAAGAAATCCTCTCCTTGCTAGTCTCAAGTCGCAAGGAGGAGGAGTCCACCATGCTCAAGCAGAGACTTCCTGAGCCGCCTGGGATGCGGGGCAGGAGTGTCAGGCAGGAGGAGTGAGGTCACTACCTGCTGCTTAAACACAGCAGGGGATGGGCGCAGGCGTAGGAGCCTGAGGTCCCAGCAGCTACTCGGGAAGCAGTGGCGGTAAGATCAGTGAGCCTGGGAGTCCTGGCCAGCCTGGGCGACAAAGTAACATTCCCTCCCCCAGTCTACTTTTTTCTTTTAATTTTAAATAATTTGTAAAATTTTGATTAAAGCTCAGACACGGTGGCTCACGCCTGTAATCCCAGCACTTTGGGAGACAAGTGGGTGTGAGGTCAGTCGAGACCATCTTGGCTGACACACACGTGAAACCCCGTCTCCACTAAAAATACAAAAATTAGCCTGGCGCGGTGGCCGACGCCTGTAGTCCACCTACTCAGAGAGGCTGAAGTAGGAGAATGCCTTGAACCTGGGAGGCGGAGCTTTCCCAGTGGTGAGATGGAGCACTGCACCCGGCTACAGGCGACAGCAGAGGAAGACTCGTCTCAAAAAAAAAAAAAAAAAAGAAGAAAACAGTTTTTTGTATGAAATAGAATCCAACATTACCCTTTTCCATGTGGATATCAGTTCGTTGTCCCATCTGTTTATAAAAGAGATCTATACTTTCTCCTTTGCAGCCCCATTTTCTTTTAGTCTTTTTTCTTTTCTTTTGAGACTATTTTCTGTAGCCCAGGCTGGAGTGCAGTGATGACATCGGTTTGAAGCGATTCTTCTGCCTCAGCCTCTGGAATAAGCTGGCATTATGAGCGCCGCATGCCATGCCCAGCTAATTTTGCCATGTTTGATGAGCAGGCTTTCACCATGTTGGACAGACTGGTCTTGGGAACTCGTGACTTTGGTGATCCGCCTCACCTCGGCCTCCCAAAGTGCTGGGATTATAGGCGTGAACCGCTGTACCTGGCCCAGAAATACTCTCTTTGTTCTTTTAAATGTTGAGAAGATACAGTTGAAAAACTACAAAAATATTCCCGAAATGAAATCATCTTCACAGCAAAGAGGAAGAAATAAAAACCATCTTATTAATAAATAAGCCTTAGACAGAATGTGATGGAAATAGAGGCAAAGGCTGGAGAGGTTGAAGAAGAAAAAATCTTCACTGTTTGATGCAACCCATTAAGTACATGTTTTCAAGATAAACACTAATCAGTCCCCAGGAAGAGGACTTCGAAAGCCACACCCTTAGTCACACATGGTTCATCTGGCTCTACTTGGTAATGGGTGACCATCTGTGTCATGCTAAGCTTCATCCTGAGAGGGGAAGTAACCTAACCTATATCTTTTTGACAAGTGGTTTACAACATGGCGACAGGTGCCTCCCTCTTTGTTTGAGGCTCCTGCAATACAAACTACAGTATTCATCAGCAGAAATAATAAAATTTAGAATACATGATTAATTATAGACTTTATTTCAACACAAAGCTTAGGACAGCCACCTGGAAACCTCAATTCCAAATGAAGGGGGCCCCTGTTCCCAAGTAGAGATGTTAAGGTTTCACACACAGGAAAGAAGCTTTAGCAGAATCACGTTTTCCATTCAGACCAGTGCATAGGCTGCAGCAGCCGGATTGGTGGCAGTTGATACACTTCAAAGAAGGTTACTTTATCACTCCAGAACAAGGACAATGATGCTGCAAAGGTCATCTCTGGGCTGCCAGTCTTCTGGTGCCACAGGTAACTGCTTTATTTATTTAATTGATATTAGAAACTAAATTCTATTGCACTTTTTTTTTTTTATCTGAGATCAGGCCTCTGTCACCCAGGCTGGTGTGCAGTGCAGCAAGTCTTCTCACTGCAACCTCCTGTCTCCCGGGTTCAAAGCAGTTCTGCCTCAACCTCCCGGTAGCTGAGACCGGGCATGCCACCATGCCTGGCTAAATGCTTTATGTTTTTAGTAGAGACAGGAGTTTCATGTTGTGGTCAGGCTGGTTTCTTTCTTTTTTTGAATGATCTTGCTCTGTCATCAGGCTGGAGTGCAGTGGGCGATCTCGGCTCTTCACTGACTGCAAACTCAGCCTCCTGGTTCACGCCATTCTCTGCCTCAGTCTCCGAGTAGCTGAGACTACAGTGCTCCACATATATGCCCGGCTAGTTTTTACATTTTCGTGAGATGGGGTTTCACAAGTGTTAGCCAGATGGTCTCGATCTCCTGGCACAAGCGATCACCACACCTCAGCCTCCCAAAGTGCACAGGATTACAGGCGTGAGCCACACCGCACCTGGTCAGCAAAATTCTTAGGTTGCGCCTGCATGCCATCAGACTCAGGTTGCATGACAGGACCTCTCAGGCTCAAATTATTAAAATGTCCATGCTTTAAATTTGAAATATTTGATGTTTGGATTACTTAACTTCCTACTGAGATAAGTACTATCTCCTACTGAGATAGAGGTACTATCTCACTTGTAGTTTGCCTTACAAGGAGCGCTCCCAAGACCTTCAGAAATACATCCCTGGGTCATTAAGCTGAAAAAAGGTTTAGTTACTCTCTTTTTTTTTTTTTTTTTTTTTTTTGAGACGGAGTCTCGCTCTGTTGCCCAGGCTGGAGTGCAGTGGCCGGATCTCAGCTCACTGCAAGCTCCGCCTCCCGGGTTTACGCCATTCTCCTGCCTCAGCCTCCCGAGTAGCTGGGACCACAGGCGCCCGCCACCTCGCCTGGCTAGTTTTTTGTATTTTTTTTTTTTTTTTTTTTTAGTAGAGAGGGGGTTTCACCGTGTTAGCCAGGATGGTCTCGATCTCCTGACCTCGTGATCCGCCCGTCTCGGCCTCCCCAAGTGCTGGGATTACAGGCTTGAGCCACCGCGCCCGGCGCACTTGTAAAGTTTCTCTCCAGTGTGAATTCTAGTATTGTCAGGTGTGAATCATTCCTGAAAGCCTTGTCACAAACCTTATATTTGTATGTTTTTTCTCCAGTATGAATTATCCTACGTATTTGAAGCTGGTTTTGCGACTGAACTTTGTCACATTGTTCATGTTTGTAAGATTTCTCTGCAGCATGAAGTCTGTGATGACTTGCAAGGTGTGATTGTTGATTAAAAACCATGCCACATTCATTAGACTTGTAAGGTTTCTCTCCAGTGTGAATTACAAGGTGTGAATTTTGACCCAAGGTCTTGCCACACTCATTACACTTCTAAGGTTTCTCTCCAGTGTGAATTCTAGTATGTTTTGCCAGGTATGAATTATATGCAAAAACCTTGTCACAAACTTTATATCTGTATGGTTTCTCTTCAGTGTCAATCTTCTTATGTGTTTCAAGGTTTGATTTATGACTGAACACGTTGTCACATTCCTCCCATTTGTAAGGTTTCTCTCCAGTATGAAGTCTATGATGATGTGCAAGGGGTGCTTTTTAATTAAAAACCTTGAAACATTCATTATGCTTGTAAGGTTTCTCTCCAGTATGAATGGCCCTGTGATTTACAAGGGTTGAATGGTGATGGAAGGTGTTGCCACACTCATTAGACTATTCAGATTTCTCTGCACTATGAAGTCTATGATGGTATACAAGGGATGACATCTGACTGAAGGTCTTGCCACACTCATTACACTTGTAAGGCTTCTCTCCAGTATGAAGCCTACGATGGATTATAAGGGATGATGTCTGACGGAAGGTCTTGCCACACTCAGTACACTTGTAAGGTTTCTCTCCAGTGTGAACTCTCTGATGTTGTGCCAGGTGTGAATCCCTCTGGAAAGCCTTGTCACAAACCTTACATTTGTATGGTTTCTCTCCACTATGAATCCTCCTATGTCTTTCAAGGTGTGATCTGCGACTGAAAACTTTGTCACATTCTTCACATTTGTAAGGTTTCTCTCCAGTATGAAGTCTACGATGGCGCACAAGGGTTGATAGTCGATTAAAAACCTTGCCACATTCATTACATGTGTAAGGTTTCTCTCCAGTGTGAAGTACAGTATGCTTTGCCAGATATGAATTATACACGAAAGCCTCATCACAAACCTTACATTTGTATGGTTTCTCTCCAGTATGAATCCTCTTGTGTCTTTCAAGGTGTGATTTGCGACTGAAAACTTTCTCACATTCTTCACATTCATAAGGTTTCTCTCCAGTATGAAGTGCTTTGTGAATGAAGAGCGATGAATTGTGACCAAAGGTCTTGCCACACTCATTACACTTGTAAGGTTTCTCACCAGTGTGACATCTACGATGGCATGCAAGGTATCGCTTCTGATTAAAGACCTTCCCACATACATCACATTTACATTGTTTCTCTTCTAAGTGAATTATCTGGTGTTTTTTTAAGAGTGAGCTACAATTAAAGGATTTGAAACTCTCAATACATTCGAAAGATTTTTCTCTCATGTGTACTTCCCATTTTTGTGTGGGTAATGAAGAATGGAGGGAATTATTTCCATACTTACTAGAAATAAGGGTTTTGGGCCTATCAGAAATTCTTTGGGCTGTTGAAACCGAGGAAGCATTGTTGATAGATTTCTCAACTTGATTATCAATTTTCCCTTCAGGCTGAAATATGTGCAGTTCAGGCAGATGTGAATGAAAGCTTGATCCAAGCTGATCTTTAATAGCCTTGTTTGCAGAATGCCTTTGATCATGTCGGTCTGTATTACCAGTCAACTCTTTGATTTCCATCATGGGTGCTGCATGGCCATTTGTTTCATCTTCTTTCCACTGCAACTCGAAGTCATGAATGTCTTTCTCAATTTCATGTAGGCAAAATTCTCCAATGTGATCATTTGCTTGTCTTTGCAATGTCCCGGTGAGGATCACTTCTGTATTGCCTTTCCCTGTTGATGACAATGTCTTCAACATGCATTTGGAAGAGATATCTACAAAATTTAAACACCAATAGGTTTCCAATTAAGTACAGATGGTATATAATACTGAAATGTGTAAATATCACAGAAAAAACAATATTTATTTTCAACTTCCCAAATATGAGCTTCAAAGTTTAGGAACACAAAAGGAGTAAGATTCTTTAATAAACAAGGACGATTACATGTCCTTCAAATCATTTCTACAGAAACCTATTCCCAATATTATGATGAAACACTGACAGGACACAAACATGTATAAGTCTAAAGGAAGGAGTGTTTTTCCACGGTGACCCTACAGCATATCACACTTATCACTGCCACATCAGAGAAAAATGTATATCCTTCATATTTACAGCATACTTAGTGTATACAAATAAATGCTAAAGAACCACACAATATACTATATTGGTAAATAATCCACCTCAGGCTATTGTAAGAATAACCAAAATTAGTGGAAATTCTGTACTGTCAAATAACCATAGCACTGACAAGATAAGAAAAGATTACAAAAATTAGCCAGGTGTGGCGGCCAGCGCCTGTACTCCCAGCTACTCCAGAGGCTGAGTCACAAGAATTGCATTAAGCTAAAAGGCAAAGGTTGCAGTTAGCTAACACTGCACCACTCCACTCCAGCCTGGGTGACAAAATGAGACTCCATATCAAAAAAAAGGCATGGCATGGTGGCTCGCGACTGTAATCCCAGTACTTCCGGAGGCCGAGGCAAAAGGATCACCTCAGGTCATGAGTTCAACCAGCCTGACCAATGTGGCAAAACGCCGTCTCTACTAAACATACAAAAAGTAACCGGGCGTGGTCACGGGAACCTGTAATCCCAGCTACTTGGGAGGCTGAGGCAGGATAATCGCTAGAACTTGGGAGGCAAAGATTGTGGTGAGTTGAGATCGTGCCACTTTACCCTGGGTGACAGAGTGAGACTCCATCTCAAAAAAAAAAAAAAAAAGAAAATGTTAATACCGTATTTTTCTGAATAACTGTTACAAAAGTTATTAACTGGAACAGGCATATAGTGACTTTAATTTTTAATTTTTGGTATTTTTGTTTTTTTGAGCTAGAGTCTGGCTCTGTCACCCAGTGCAATGGTGTGATCTTGGCTCACTGCAAGCTCTGCCTCCCAGGCTCATGCAAGTTTCTTGCTTTAGGTCCTGAGCACCTCTGACTACAGGCATGTGCCACTATGCCCGGCTAATTTTTGTATTTTTAGTGGAAATTGGGTTTCACCATGTTGGCCAGGCTGCTCCCGAACTCCTGACCTCAGGTGATCCACACAACTCGGCCTCCCAAAGTCCTAGGATTACACGTGTGAGCCACTGTACCCTGTGGCACTTTGTGACATTAATGAAGGGAATGTGTCAGTTATATTGCCTACCACATGCTGAAAACTCACATGTGAAGTCATAAAAATCAACTAATCAAATACTGCAACCCATGATAAAACAAGCAAGAAAATATAAGTAGATTTATACAGATTGAAGAATTCTAAACAATTCCCTCTTAGGAAAAAAGCCAAAACTTGTACTTACCACCAGTACACAATGTAAGACCTGAAATACATGTTAAGATCACCTTCTGATATATGAGGTCAAGAAAACACACAGCATTATCAGGGACAAGAATTGGCTAAAGGCCGGGTGCAGTGTCACATGCCTGTAATCCCAGCATTTTGGTCAGCTGAGGTGGGTGAATCATGAGTTCAGGAGTTCAAGACCAGCCTGGACAACATGGCGACACACCATCTCTACTAAAACTATGAAAAAATCAGCTGGGCATGGTGGAAGACACCTGTAATCCCAACTACTTGGGAATCTGAGGCAGGAAACATTTGAACCCAGGAGGCGGAGGTTGCAGTGAGGCAAGATCACGCACCTGCACTCCAGCCTCGGTGACAAGATGAGACTTTGTCTCAAAACAATAAAATAAGATAAATAACTACTTTTCAAATAAGCCTTGGTAGATTTGGTATTCTCTAATAGGATGTTCCTGCAGATGCAGACCTTGAGAGAACTGAGTCATGGGTGTTGACTACTCGTGAATAGGACCAGTGCATTTATAAAGAGACATTAAAGAGCTCATTGCCTGTTCCTCTTTCCACTGTATTAAAACACAGGAGGAAGATGGCTGGGCTAAACCATGAAGAAGGCTCTCACCAGGAACCAATGTGGCTGGCACCTTGCTCTTGGATTTCCCACTTTGCAAATTCATGAGAAATAAGTTTCTGTGTCTGAAGCCTCCCAGTTTAAGCTATTTCCTTTTTTGTTTGTTTTTGAGATGGAGTCACGCTCTATCGCCCAGGCTGGAGGGTACTGGCAGGATTATCCTACCTCAAGTGATTCTCCCTCCTCAACCCAGAGTCTCACTGTGTTGCCAAGTCTGGAGTTCAGTGGCATGATCTTGGTTCACTGCAACCTCCACCTCCTGGGTTCAAGGGATTCTCCTGCCTCAACCTCCCAATTAGCTGGGATCATGGGTGCACGCCACTATGCACAGCTAATTTTTGTATTTTTAGTAGAGACGGGGTTTCACCATGTTGGCCAGGCTTGCCTCAAACTCCTGACAAGTGATCAACGTGTCGCAGCCTCCCAAAGTGCTGGGATTAGAGGGGTGAGCCACCGCGGCCGGCTAGTCTATTCTATTTCTAACAGGACAGTGAAATGACAGAGACAGGAAAAAGAGCATCTCATCATTAACATCACCAAAAGCTGACAAATCTTATTAAACTAATGAATTTAAGAGTCTGTACCGTAAAACTTGCAATACTTGAAGCCATCTACTAGCACTAACATGTTTTAAAAACCTTGAGACAGGCCGGGTGCGGTGGCTCGTGCGAGTAATCCCAGCATTTTGGGAGGCTGAGGCAGGAGGATCACCAGGCCAGGAGATTGAGGCCATCCTGGCTGACAAGCTGAAACTCCGACTCTACTAAAAAAAAATACCAAAAAAATTAGCCAGCGTGTTAGCACTCACCTGTAGTCCCAGCTACTTGGAAGGCTGAGGCAGGAGAATTGCTTGAACCTGGGAAGTGGAGGTTGCAGTGAGCCTAGATCACACCACTGCACTTTAGCCTGGGTGACAGACCGAAACTCTGTCTCAGAGAGAAAAAAAAAGAGAAATGAAAGAAGGCTAAAGAGTAACTCCAACCCGTAAGCATATAAAAAGTTCTCCAGACCGGGTGTCGTGGCTCATGCTTGTAATCCCAGCACTTTGGGAGGTTGAAGTGGGCGAATCACCAGCTCAGGAGATCGAGACCATCCTGGCCAACCAACATGGTAAAACCCCATCTCTACTAAAAATACAAAAATTAGCTGGGTATAGTGGCGCACACCTATAGTCGCAGCTACTCAGGAGGCTGAGGATGAAGAATTGCTTGAACCTGGATTGTGGAGGTTACAGTGAGTCAAGATCACACCACTGTACTCCAGCCAGGGTGACAGAGTGAGACTCCGTCTCAAAAAATTAAATAAATAAATAAATAAAGTTATCCACTGAAGGTAAATTAAAAAAACAGATAGTCCAGGCGTGGTCTTTCATTCCTGTAATCCCAGCACTTTGGGAGGACGAGCCAGGCGAATCACCTGAGGTCGGGAGTTCAAGATCAGCCTGGCCAACAAGGAGAAACCCTGTCTCTACTGAAAATACAAAATTAGATGAGTGTGGTGGTGCATGCCTCTAATCCCAGCTACTCGGGAGGCTGAGGCAGGAGAATCGGTTGTACCCAAGAGGCAGAGGTTGCGGTGAGCTGAGATTACAGCATTGTACTTCAGCCTGGGTGACAACAACAAAACTCTGTCTCATAAATACATAATTAATAAAAGGACAGATACAGAAACTGGCATACTTTTCTTCACAAATAAATGTTTTTTCATACTTTTTAAAATAAAAGGCATGAAAAACACTGTACATATATGTTAATGGAAATGCAACATACACAGAAATAATTCTGACATAAATAAAAAAAGTTCTAGTGTAGTAGTTTTTGCAGGTTATGGATTTTTTTTTTTTTTCTGTCTCCCAGGCTGGAGTGTAATGGCGTGATATCAGTTCACCGCAACTTCCGCCTTCCAGATTCAAGCGACTCTCCTGCCTCAGCCTCCTGAGTAGCTGGGATTACAGCCACCCACCACTGCACCTGGCTAATTTTTATAATTTTAGTAGAGACAAAGTTTCAACATGTTAGCCAGGCTGGTTTTGAACTACTGACCTCAGGTGTTCTGCCCACCTTGGCCTCCCAAAGTACTGGGATTATAGGCGTGAGCCACTGCACATGTCCAGGTTATGGAAATTTTAAGTTTCATTATTATGCTATAACTTTAAGATGTTTAACATACCTGCAACAATAACCTCTGCCCAAATATCTATACAACGCACTTCACTTCTGCATACTGAAAGGAATGGACACTGGTTGTTACATGTTTACTAAGAACTGAAGGACAAAACTATTTAAAATGATAACAATGGTTAGGCATGGCAGCTCATGCCTATAATCCCAGTGCTTTGGGAATCCCAGGTAAGTGGATCACTTGAGATCAGGAGTTTGAGACCAGCCTGACCAACATGGTGAATCCCCATCTCTACTAAAAACACAAAAATTAGCTGGGCGTGGTGGTGAGCACCTGCAGGTCCAGCTACTCAGGAATCTGGGGAATGAGAATCCTTTGAGCCCAGGAGGCGGAGGCTGCAGTTAGCCACAATCGTACCACTGCACTGTAGCCTGGGCGACAGAGTGAGACTGTGTGATAAACAAAGAAAGAAAAGAAAGAAAGTAAGAGCAGAGAGATAAGCAGGCACAAAGAAAGTGTGGAGAAAAGAGAGATCAGCTTGTTACTGTGTCTATGTAGAAAAGGAAGACATAAGAAACTCCATTTTAATCTATATTAAGAAAAACTGTTTTTTCTTAATTTTGCTTTGAGATGCTGTTAACCTGTAACTTTAGCCCCAACCCTGTGCTCACAGAAACATGTGCTGTATTGAATCCAGGTTTAAGGGATTTAGGGCTGTGCAGGATGTGCCTTGTTAACAATATGTTTGCAGGCAGTGTGCCTGGTAAAAGTCATCACCATTCTCCATTCTCGATTAACCAGGAACACAATGCACTGCAGAAAGCCCAAGAGACCTTTGCCCAAAAAAGCCGGGGTATTGTCCAAAGATTCCCCCCGCTGAGACAGCCTGAGACATGGCCTCATGGGAATGGAAAGACCTTACATCCCCCAGCCCGACACCTGTAAAGGGTCTGTGCTGAGGAGGAGGAGTGAAAGAGGGAGGCCTCTTTGCAGTTGAGATAAGAGGAAGGCTTCTGTCCCTGGGATTGGAATGTCTCAGTGTAAAGCAGACCATTCCCATTCGTTCTATTCTGAGAAAGGAGAAAAGCATGGCTGGAGGCGAGATATGCTGGCAGCAATACTGCTCTGTTACTCTTTGCTACACTGCGATGTTTGGGTAAAGAGAAACATAAAGCTAGCCTGTGTGCACATCCGGGCACAGCACCTTTCCTTGAACTTATTCATGATACAGATTCCTTTGCTCACATGTTTTCCTGCTGACCTTCTCCCTAAATGTTGCCCTGATACACGCCCCTCGCTAAGATAGTAAAAATAACGGTCAATAAATACTGAGGGAACTCAGAGACCGGTGGCGGGGCAGGTCCTCACATGCTGAGTGCGCCGGTCCCCTGGGCCCACTGTTCTTTCTCTATACTTTGTCTCTGTGTCTTATTTCTTTTTTTTTTTTTTTTTTTTTTTGAGGCGGAGTCTTGCTCTGTCGCCCACGCTGTAGTGCAGTGGCACTATCTCGGCTCACTGCAAGCTCCGCCTCCCGGGTTTACGCCATTCTCCTACCTCAGCCTCCCGAGTAGCTGGGACTACAGGCGCCCGCCACCACGCCCGGCTAATTTTTTTGTATTTTTAGTAGAGATGGGGTTTCACCGTGTTAGCCAGGATGGTCTCGATCTCCTGACCTCGTGATCCACCCACCTCGGCCTCCCAAAGTGCTGGGATTACAGGCTTGAGCCACCGCGCCCGGCCTCTGTGTCTTATTTCTTTATTTCTTTACTCAGTCTCTTGTCCCACCTGACGAGAAATACCCATAGGTGTGAAAGGGCAGGCCCCCTTCAGAAAGATGTCCATTCAGGGATGTCAGGACTTAAACTTTCCTTTTCCCACAGAATTCTCCCACTTGCAGAGTTTCCCCACACACTAGTGGAAGGTGGAGCTTCCACTCTGCCCATCTGAGCTCTTACCTGCCTTTACACCTGTAATACATTCCCTCCCAGCTGGATTTTGTTGCTATTTTCACTTCACTCTCCACGGTCCAGGGCTCTTTCCCTTGCTCCAACATGGAGACAGCATGTCAGAAAGAGACTCCTGCTTATAAAAAGAAAGGACCATGACGTGCTGGAGCTTTTCTAGAGTCCCGGCCCTACGTTTCAATAGGAAAGAAGACATTACAGATGGATCTAGGAAAATATTTCACAAATTCCTCCACTGACTACCTCCTTCTGAATGCCGAGGGAGCATTGTAATATGTAATACGTGGACATTGAGCTCTCTTCCAAGAACTACTGAATCGAAAGCACAGGAGAAGCAAACAGGGAACCGGATATCTTTAAAGTCGGCCATAAGATTTTGTTTTTGTCTTTTGAAACACAGTCGTGCTCTGTCACTGGGCTGGAGTGCAGTGGTGTGTTCTCGGCTCACTGCAACCTTGGCCTCCTGGGTTCAGTTGATTCTCTTTCCTCAGCCTTTCTAGGAGCTGGGATAAAAGGTGTGCACCACAACATCTGGCTAATTTTTGTATTTTTAGTAGAGATTGGGTTTCTCCAAGTTGGTCAGGCTGGTCTCAAACTCCTCACCCGTAGTGATCCACATGCCTTGGCCTCCCAAGGTGCTGGGATGACAGGTGTGAGCCACAACGACCAGGTTGTGATAAGGTTTTATGCCTACTTTAGTTCTGGAATCCTCACTGAGCTATCATGAAGAATGCAGAACATCTAAACAAACGGGACAGTGAAAGTCCAGATGCTACATCATGAAGCTTTTCATTTCAAAATCAATATGGCTTCCATTTTAGTCAAGGAACGATGGGGCTCCCAAGAGGCAACAAGAGAAAATGCAAAGACACATAAGGGCACATCCCCAGCAGGGAAGTTATCCTCACCCAGGGAGACCAGGTTCCTATAATTCTCCAGCATCACGTCTCTGTATAAAGTCCTCTGAGCAGGGTCCAGACATTTCCACTCCTCCTGAGAGAATTCTATGGCCACATCCCTGAATGTCAGTAGACCCTGGAATGAAAACACATTTTAACCAAATGGCTATGGAAGGATTTATTTACAGAAAATGAGAAGAGGAGAGAGGGGAAAGCAGGGATTTAATTGTAGAGAAAGTTCTGACAAATCCGAGGGATTTCTCACCACATGACATCTCCCTAGATGTGTTTTATTACACTTTTTGAGTATATTCAAGACACACTTTCAGTATAAATTTCTTATGTTTGTGAAAAATACAAGAAATGAATAAAAAATCAATGTTGGGTTCCTGTTATAAAAATGTTTGGAACTTTTATTGACACACCAGGTGACATTCATTATCTAGATGAGAGAGAGCACAACTGATGTCTTTTTTTTTTTTTTTTTTTTGAGACAGAGTCTTGCTCTGTCACCCAGGCTGGAGTGCAGTGGCACCATCTCGGCTCACTGCAAGCTTCGCCTCCCGGGTTCATGCCATTCTCCTGCCTCAGCCTCCCAAGTAGCTGGGACAACACGCGCCCGCCACCTCGCCCGGCTAGTTTTTTGTATTTTTAGTAGAGACGGGGTTTCACCGTGTTAGCCAGGATGGTCTCGATCTCCTGACCTCGTGATCCGCCCGCCTCGGCCTCCCAAAGTGCTGGGATTATAGGCGTGAGCCACCACACCTGGCCCAACTGATGTCTTAAAAGATGACAATGTCCACAGTAAAAGATAGGCTGGGCACAGTGTCACATGCCTGTAATCCCAGCTACGCCGGAGGCTGAGGCAGGAGAATCACTTGATCTGGGGAGGCAGAGGTTGCCGTGATCCCAGATCGCATCACTGCACTCCAGCCCGGGCAACAGAAACTCCATCTCAAAAAAATAAAATTAAAAAAAAAAAAATTAGCTGGGCGTGGTGGGAGGCACCTGTGGTCCCAGCTACTTGGAAGGCTAAGGAGCGAGGATGGCTTGACCCTGAGGGTGGAGGTTGCAGTGAGCTACGATCCCGCCAGGGCACTCACGCCTGGGCAACAAAGCGAGACCCCGTCTCAAAATAAAATAAAGTACGTGAAAACAAAATTACTCAAAGTACAAAAATCAATCGTGTATATATAGGTTCATAAAATAATAAAACCTACAGAGATTCACAAAAAACTAGATGTTAATACAAAAGGTTATCATTTGTCCCAGATTTTCAAAATATAAAAGATTTTTGAAATATATGCATATGTGTGTATACATGTATTTGTCTGTATATGTGTGTGCACGTTTGTGGGAATGTGTATGTACATATATAAAGTTTTTAAAAATATGAAAAGTAGCAAGTTTTGTTTAACTGAAGAGGAATCTCATCTTGCTGGAAAATGACACTTTGGCAGCTGCGGGCAGTGGGGATCTTGTGGGATGTAAGAAAACAGGAAATGTCCCATCCTAGAGGAGGCAATCACCTTTCACCTGCCTGACCTGGAGGAACGTTCAGATATCTGCAGGAATGCAGGCGTGCGCAGAGGCAGCCACTACGGCGCTCTTTATACAGGGAAAAATCGCAAAGGACCCACATGTTGTCATTCAGCCATTTTCCAACGCAGATGGCAAAGAGCAAGCTAGCCATGTTTACTAACATGACAACATGTAAATTCACAACCAGCAGGATCAAATATCAAAGTAAAATATTTACTAAAACACAAAGAAGAAAACAACAGATACTGGGGTCTACTTGAGGGTGGAGGGTGGGAGGAAGGTGAGGAGCAGAAAAAATAACTATTATGGGCCGGGCGCAGTGGCTCACACCTGTAATCCCAGCACTTTAAGAGGCTGAGGCAGGTGAATAATGAGGTCAGGAGTTCAAGACCAGCCTGGCCAAGATAATGAAACCCCTTCTCTATTAAAAATACAAAAAATAGCCAGACATGGTGTTGGCTGCCTATAATCTCAGCTACTCAAGAGACTGAGGCAGGAAAGTGCTTGAACCCAGGAGGCAGAAGTTGCAGTGAGCTGAGATCACGCCATTTCACTGCAGCCTAAATGACAGAGTGAGACTCTGTCTCAAAAAAAAAAGAAAAAGGAAAGAACTTTTTTTAAGTTACTACAGAATTTTTTCTAAAGCCTCATAACGATGCACAAATACGTCTGTATGAGACTTGCTCTGACACCTGACACGGAACTGACGGTAGCGGCTCCCCAGTGAGGCTGGAAGGAGGGTGGAGGATGTGACAGGGAAAGGAGATGCCCTATGGCCAAGGGTCTAAGCTGCAGCTTTTCTTGGAGTTTTACCACAAAACAAATACATAGATCATGTGATGTTTAAATATATAACAATATATATTTAACAATAATTGGTGGGACTGGGCATGGTGGCTCGTGTCTGTAATCCCAGCATGCTGTGAGGCTGAAGCAGGCAGATCACCTGAGGTCAGGAATTCAAGACCAGCATGGCCAAAATGGTGAAACACCGCCTCTTCTAAAAATACGAAAAAATTAGCCGTGGGGGATGGCACGTGACTATAATCCCAGCTACTTGAAAAGCTAAAACAGGAGAATCACTGGAACTTGGGAGGCAGAGGTTGCAGTGATCTGAAATTGCACTACTGCACTCCAGCCTGGGCAATCGAGAATTTGTCTCAAAAAGAAAAAAAAAAAAAAAAAAAAGCTGGATGAGGTGGCTCACGCCTGTAATTTCAACACTTTGGGAGACTGAGGTGGGCAGATCACGAGGTTATGAAATGGAAACCATCCTGGCTAAAAAGGTGAAACCCCGTCGCTACTGAAAATAAAAAATTATCCAGGCATGGTGGCACTCGCCTGTATTCCCAGCTACTCGGGAGCCTGAGGCAGGAGAATCACTTGAACTGGGAAGGCAGAGGTTGCAGTGAGCCGACATCACACCACTGCACTCCAGCCTGGGCTGCAGAGCAAGATTCCGCTCAAAAAATCAAAATTAAAATTAACCAGGCATGGGGGCACCTGTGGTCCCAGCCACCTGAAAGGCAGAGGTTGGGGGATGGCTTGAGCCTGAGGGTGGAGGTTGCAGTGAGCTAAGATCATGCCACTGCACTCCAGCCTGGGCAACAGACTGAGACCTTGTCTCAAAATAAAATAAATATATGAAAACAGCATTACTGAAAGTATGAAAATGTATTTTGTATATGTATGTCCAAAACAATAAAACCTACATAGACTCACGAGAAATTAGATGTTAATAAAAAGCGTTGTTGTTTTCCCCAGATTTTCAAAATATGTATGTATGTGTGTATACATGTATGTATATGTACAGATGTATGTGTATTTCTGTGTGTTTATATATACATTTATAAAGGTTTTAAAAATATAAAATTAGCAAGATTTGTTTAACTGCAGAGGAATCTCACCTTGATGGAAAGGATACTTTGGCAGTGGGAGGAAGGAGAGGAGCAGAAAAAATAACTATTGGGCCTGGGCACAGTGGCTCACACCTGTAATCCCAGCACTTTGGGAGGCTGAGGTGGGTAGATCACCTGAGGACAGGAGTTCAAGACCAGCCTGGCCAACATGGTGAAACTGTCTTTACTAAAAATACAAAAATTAGCCAGGCATGGTGGCTGGCACCTGCAAACCCAGTTACTCGAGAGGCTGAGGCAGGAGACTCGCTTGAACCTGGGAGGCAGAGGTTGCAGCGAGTTGAGATCATGCCATTATACTCCAGCCTGAGCAATAAGAGCAAAACTCAGTCTCGAAAAAAATAAATAAATAAAAAATAACAGCCGGGCGTGGTGGCTCACACCAGTAATCCCAGCACTTTGGGAGGTTGAGGTAGGTGGATCATGAGGTCAGGCGTTCAATACCAACCTGACCAAGATGGTGAAACCCCGTCTCTACTAAAAATACAAAAAAATTAGCTGGGCATGGTGGCGGGCGCCTGCAATCTCAGCTATTCAGGAGGCTGAGGCAGAGAATTGCCTGAACCCAAGAGGTGGAGGTTGTAGTGAGCCGAGATCACACCACTGCACTTCAGCCTGGGTGACAGAGTGAGACTCCATCTTAAAATAAAATTAAAATAAAATAAAATAAAATAAAAATAACTATTGGGTACTGGGCTTGATACTGGAGTGATGAAATAATTGGTACAACAAAACCCGATGATGTGAGTTTACCCCTGTAACAAGGCTTCACATGCAGCCCCAAGCATAAAGTGAAAAAATAAAATACAAATTTTTAAAAATTTACAACAGAATTCTTTTTCTTTCTTTCGTTTTTTTTTTTTTTTGAGACGGAGTCTTGCTCTGTCACCCAGGCTGGAGCTCAGTGGCAAGATCTTGGCTCACTACAAGCTCCACCTTCCAGCTTCACGCTATTCTCCAGCCTCAGCCTCCCAAGTAGCTGGGACTACACGCGCCCGGCAACACACCCGGCTAATTTTTTGTATTTTTTAGTAGAGACAGGGTTTTGTCATATTAGCCAGGATGGTCCCAATCTCCTGACCTCATGATCCGCTGGCCTCGGCCTCCCAAAGAGCTGGGATTACAGGCGTGAGCCACCATGCCTGGCCCAGAATTTTTTAAAAAATCTCATAACGATGCAGAAATACACGTGTATGAGACTTGCTCTGACACCTAACACAGAACTGACAGTACTGGCTCCCCAGTGAGGCTGGAAGGAGGATGGAGGATGTGACAAGGAAAGGAGATGCCTTATGGCCAAGGGCCTAAGCTGAAGCTTTGCTTGGAGACTTACCACAAAACAAATATATACATCATGTGATGTTTAAATATAACCATTTATATGTAATAATAACTGGTGGGGCTGGGCACGGTGGCTTGTGCCTGTAATCCCAGCGCTCTTGGGGGCTGAGACGGGCAGAGCACCTGAGGTTAGGAGTTGGAAGACAGCCTGGCCAGCATGGTAAAACGCTGTTTCCACTAAAAGTACAAAAAAATTAACCAGGCGTGGTGGCGCATGCCTATAATCCCAGCTACTAGGTGGCTGACACAGGAGAATCGCTTCAACCTGGGAGACAGAGGTTGCAGTAAGTTGAGATCATGCCACTGCACTCCAGCCTGGGCAACAGAGCAAGACTTCATTTCAGAATATAATAATAATAATAATAATAATAATAACAGGTGGAATGAGAATACGGCTTTATCCTCTAGGATAAAAAAGAAGTACTACTCTCATATTTGAGAAAAATTGTAAACATTTTTACCAAAAACACTTGTTTCACAAGCCTCTCCACAGTAAAACCACTGTCTTCATGAGCTTAATGTGCTAAGAATGGTTTAATGAATCTCCTCCTATTATTTACATTGATTTCATATTCTTTTTTTTTTTTTTTTTTTTGAGACCGAGTCTCGCTCTGTCGCCCAGGCTGGAGTACAGTGGCCGGATCTCAGCTCACTGCAAGCTCCGCCTCCCGGGTTCACGCCATTCTCCTGCCTCAGCCTCCCGAGTAGCTGGGACTACAGGCGCCCGCCACCTCGCCCGGCTAGTTTTTTGTATTTTTTAGTAGAGACGGGGTTTCACCGTGTTAGCCAGGATGGTCTCGATCTCCTGACCTCGTGATCTGCCCGTCTCGGCCTCCCAAAGTGCTGGGATTAGAGGCTTGAGCCACCGCGCCCGGCCTGATTTCATATTCTTAAAATAATGAAGGAATGGGCCAGGCACGGTGGCTCATAATTGTAATCCCAGCACGTTAGGAGGCCAATGTGGGCGGATCACCTGAGGTCAGGAGTTTGAGACCAGCCTGACCAACATAGAGAAACCATGTCTCTCCTAAAAATACAAAATTAGCTGGGCATGGTGGCGCATGCTTTTAATCCCAGCTGCTTGGGAGGCTGAGGCAGGAGAATCGCTTGAACCCAGGAGGCAGAGGTTGCAGTGACCTGTGATAGTGCCATTGCACTCCAGCCTGGCCAACAAGAGCAAAATACTGCCTCTAATAATAATAATAATAATAATAATAATAATAAAGAAATCATTCATGTATTGTTCATGTCCATGTATGAACTTTCCATTCTAATTAGTAAGATTTTTGGAGTCAGAAACACAGTAACTCACTCAATTACCTAAAAATGTGGTACAAAATCAGGGAGTAAAGATTTTCCTTTATTGGTCTCCTTTTCTAGAATTTACCACATACTTTGTGATCATTAATACGTGACTTCCATTGGCAGCTGCTCTAATCCTGGTCCACAGAGAGCTGACAGTGTGGCCCCTGAACAATCCCTGCTGCCCAACAGCACTGACACCACGGGACCCTCACCCCGTCTCCATCCATGTCTGGTGTGAGCCCTTCCCAGGACCATGCCCAGTGCCGCCTCTTCCCAAGTTCATGTCACTGGGTCACAAGAGATGGAATCTAAGCGAGATGAGAGGAACTGAGGGAAGGCATGGGTGAGGGTGAGCAAACCTGTCAGGCAGGACGCTTCAGACTCAGAGAAGATTCCCAACTCCAAGGCCCAGCGTTTCTGAAAGGAAGGAGACAGAACAATCCACCGAGAATATCATCTCACCTGAGGAGGAGCCATCCCTGACTCCTCTGCTTTCCTCTTCCTCTTCCGGGTTTCTCTTCATGGACCAAGAGTCTTTAGAAATCAATCCTGAATGTTAAAAATATGCTGTTTACTGCTCAGAATCAACACGCCCCCTCCCTGTAACAATGACACAAACAAAGGAGACCTCACCATGAGGAAATACGGTCCCCTCTGCTGCCCACTGCACCAGGAACAAAAAATTCCTAAAGGAAAACTCCTGCTCCCCTTCTGGAGAAGCGCACGCGCGCGCGCACACACACACACACACACACACACACTTCAGCTGTGGGAAGCTGGGCTGAGATGAGCTCCCCTTCAGGAAAACTCTATCACAAATACAAAAACTTAGCCAGGTAGGGTGGTGCACATCTGTGTGTCTGTGGTCCTAGCTACTTAGGAAGCTGAGGTGGAAGCATCACTTGAGCTCAGAAGCTTGAGACCAGCCTGGCCAACATGGTGAAACCCAGTCTCTACTAAAAATACAAAAACTGGGCCAGGCAGAGTGGCTCATGCCTGTAATACTAGCACTCTGAAAGGCAGAGGTGGGTGGATTACTTGAGGTCATGTGTTCGAGACCAGCCTGGCCAACATGGTGAAACCCTGTCTCTACTAAAAATACAAAAAGTAGCCGAGCTTCATGGGCATCTGTAATCCCAGCTACTCAGGAGGCTGAGGAAGGATAATTTCTTGAACCTGGAAGGTGGAGGTTGCAGTGACCTGAGATTGCACCACTGCACTCCTGCCTGGGCGACAGAGTAAGACTCAAAAATAAAATAAAATACAAATACAATAATTAGCAGGGTGTGGAGGCACACACCTGTAATCTCAGCTACTTGGGAGGCTGAGGCAGAAGAATCAATTGAACCCAGGAGGCAGAGGTTGCAGTGAGCCAAGATCACAAGACTGCACTCACAGCCTGGAGGACACAGTGAGAGTCTGTTTGGAAAAAAAAAAAAAAAAAAAAGTACATTTCTGATAAGATTGACACGAGATAAGAAAACTTGAGTAATCTGATACAGACTGACAGGTAGAGGGAACTTCAGACGGGGGTGGGAGGGCATGGGAGGCATCTCTGAGCCTAGACCTGAAGGAGAAAGGGACAGTGCCATCTTCATTTAGAAACATAGGGCATGCGGAGACATGACCTGGAGACAGGGAAGGATTTTGATGTTTGAAAAAAGAGAAAGCAAATGTGACTGAAGTCAGGAGAAGGAGGGCAAGCTCAGGAGGAGGCTGGACACTGGTGGCAGGGAGCCCTGGTCACAGGGCTGTGGAGCCAAAGTGAAGAGCTGGGACTTTTGTCCCGAGAGAACATGGGAAGCCGGGTGGAGGTTCCTGCCAGGGACTAACACGACCTGCTTTAGACATAGCTGTGATATCCTCATACAGAGAAAGGCCTCTGAAGATGGTCTCTGTTTCTGAGTCTACCCTTACATTTCTTCCATCTTCTGCCTTTTTTTTTTTTTTTTTGTTTTGGAGATACCATCCATGGAAAATTCTAATTACAACTGGGCACTCCCTCTCCCAGACAAAAAGCCACACCCAGACACCGCCACTATTTTGCCAATCATTTCAGGGGCCAGGAGGTCACTCCAGGTTGAGCTTTTCTGGTCCTACAACCCTTCATCGCCAAGTTGCGAGACTCACCCAGGCTCAGAGGAGGAAACATTTTCACCATGTTACCACAAAGAAGATGAGAATAGATGAGTGAAAAAATTTTAACCTGGATGCCCACATGGGGAGCCTGGAAGGGCTAATGGGATGGGTTGGTCCATCCTTAAATTTAGAGAAGCATCCTTCACCTACCTGGGTTAAAGAAAATTCTTTGAAAGTTTCACAGTGAAACTGACAGCCAACATTGAATTCTTCCTTAGAAGAAAATCTCAATACTTTTATAAAATGCAGTACAACACACAGCTATTGACCTTGAAACAGGAAACAGGAGTCAGCTGCAGAACCAAGACATAAGCAATTTTAATCAAGAATACGGGTGGACAATAGGTGGCTCACACCTGTAATTCCAGCACTTTGGGAGGTGGAGGTGGGTGGATCACCTGAGGTCAGGGGTTTGAGACCAACCTGGCCAACATGGTAAAACCGTCTCTACTAAAAGCTACTACAAAAATCACCGGGCTCCATCCTTGCAACTTATTTAACCTCTAGTTACTCCTTCTCCCCAAGCTTTAGATCGTCCTCAATCTCCATAGATTTCTGCCTCTTCTCCCATCTCTGCGCATCCTCTGTTCTCCCTGTTAAATTCTCTTTCCTCATTACCTTGCGTCCTCCAATCTGGCATCTCAGATCCCCAGGTATCCTCCCTGCTGTGGTTCTCCCTCTGTTCTCTTGCCACCAGCACCACTCTCTGCCTCTCTGTCTGCCCTGGCTCCAAATGCTTCCTCCTCTCCCTCACTCTGATGAGCCTCCCTCTTTGCTGCCCCTCACTACCTTGCTGTGTGTCCTTCATCTCTGTACATCTAGCTTTTCTCTACATTTCTGCAGTTGCTTTTCTCCTCCTGCTTTCTTATCTTTTTTCCTTTTGCTGTCTCTTGGCAAATCCACCCTATCTCTACTTTTTCCCATCTGTTACGGTCTTCCTCATTCTTCTTTTCTCTGTCTCAGGTTTTCTACTGGTCTCTCAGTCCCCTCTCCTCTGTCTCCTGATCCTTTTTGGCCCACAATCACTTTTTGAGAGGGTTTGGAGTAAGAGGCCGGCATCTCGGAGGAGCACATTTCCAAGGCTGGATCTGAGCAGGCAAGAACACTTACATTAATCACAGGACAGGCACCGGCACCTCTACAGGCGCGGGCTCAGGGGGAAGCGGTGACTGCGGAGGGAGACTGAGGGCAGCAGGACCCAGCAGGAGGAGGAGGGAGGTGGGGGAGCAACGCGCTTTCGGACAAGGGTGGGATCCGCAGGATCCAGGACCAGAAGCGTGTCCTCCCGCTACTGAGGTCACGGTGCTGTGCTCCAGGAATTGACGAGTGAGGCTGGGAGACTGGGGTGAATACACCTCTTGGGTGAGGACTTTAAAAAGCGCAGTGCGGAAGGAGTCAAAAAACGGTTTTGAGCAAGAAAACTACGCCATAGGAAGTGTATACGCTGCCCTGTAGCAGAAAGACCCAGGACGAGACCAGCCTCGGGGTGACTTTAAACCTAAAAGAAGGGACTTCGGACTCCAGGAGAACATCTCCATTTGCTCTGAGTGAAGAGGAAGAAGAGACGAGAACTACCGGAGTCTACAGGGGACCCCACATCCCATGTACAGAAGTGCCGGGGACCTGGAAGGCGCGGACTTAATACAACACAGAGCAAAACTCACGCTGCGGTGTGACCGTCACTCCACGGGATCCGCTTCTGGTTTGCGCGAATCTGGGCGCACAAGACCCAGAAACCAGGCCTGGGTGGAGCCAGCGAGAGGAGGTGAGCGGAGCCTGGGTGAGTGTGGGCAGGGCCTGGTGAGGTAGGGGCAGGGGGCAGAAGCGGAAGGCACTTTAGAATCAGCAGAGGCGGGCCGGGCAGGACCTGTGTGTCTGTCACGGTCCTTCCAGCCCCTGTTCTCCGGAGTTTTTGGCGGCGAGAGCAGCCAGGAAAGCGAAGAAGGATGATTCAAAAGCCCTGGAATAGTCTGGAAGGAGGATGCAAACCAGAATGTATAAAGCCTACCTGGGTGGAAGGTACGATTTCATGCTGACGGTCCACAGGACAGAATAGAAATCCTCTCCTTTCTGTTCTGCATTCACACGGGAGGGAGAGAGTCCACTCTGTGCTCAACCCAGAGACTTCCCTAGGGCCACCGGCTGAGATGCGGGACGGAATGCACAGACTAAGGAGAGTGAGGTCACTACCTGCTTAAACACAGCAGTCTGCGGGCGCAGGCGTGGGGCGTGGGCGTGGAACCCTGAGGTCCCAGCTACTCAGGAAGCAGTAGCGGGAGAATCGCTGGGCCTGGGGTTCACAATAGCCAGCCTGGGCGACAAAGTAACATTCCTCACGCTTTTTTTTTTTTTTTAAATAAAATTTTGATTAGGACACATTGACTCACGCCTGTAATCCCAGCACTTTGGGAGGCTGAGGCGGGCGGATCTCGAGGTCAGGAGATCGAGACCATCCTGGTTAACACGGTGAAGCCCCGTCTCTACTAAAAAATACAAAAATTAACCGGGCGTGGTGGCCAGCGCCTATAGTCCCAGCCTCCCAGGAGGCTGAGGCCAGGAGAATGCTGTGAGCAACGCGCGGAGTGGAGCTTGCAGAGAGGCCAAGATCTCGCCACTGCACTCCAGCCTGGGAGACAAACCAGACTCTGTCGCAGAAAAAAAAAAAAAAAAAAAAAAAAATTCCTTGCCTGAGATAGGGATGCCTTACTCTTTCCATGTGAATATCCAGTTAGTTGTGCCAGCACGTTTGTAAAAGAGATCTGTTACTTTCTCCTTTTTATTTCCATTTTCTTTTTCTTTTCTCTTTTTGTGTGTGAGACATAGTATTTCTCTGTCGCGCAGGCTGGGTAAGTAGCAGATCTTAGCTCACTGCAGCTTCTGCCCTCCTGGGTTGAAGCGATTCTTCTGCCTCAGTCTCCGGAATAGCTGGCAGGCGCCACCACCATGCCCGGCTAATTTTTGTATTTTTAGTAGAGATGGGCTTTCACCATGTTGGGCAGGCTGGTCTCGAACTCCTGACTTCAAGTCATCCGCCTGCCTCGGCCTCCCAAAGTGCTTGGAGTACAGGAGTCGCTGTGCTAGTCCAGAAAATACTCTTTACTTCGCTTTTTAAATGTTGTGAAAATACAACTGAAAACTAAAATCTTCCTGAAGTAAAAATCACCTTCAGGACAAAAAAGTGAAAAATAAAACCATCTTATTAATAAATAAGCCTTAGACCAAATATGATGGGAAATAGAGGCAAAGATCTGAGAGAGGTTGAAAAGACAGAAAAAACTTCACCGTTCTGTCTGTAACCCATTAAGTACATGTTTTCAAGATAAACACTAATCAGTCCTCAGGGAAGAGGGCTTGACAACACCGTTGATCACACGTAGTTCATCCTGGCTCTACTTGGTAATGGAGGTGACCATCTGTGTCAGCTAATTAGCTTCATGCAGAGGGAGGGGAAATATTTTAACCCATGTCTTTTGACAGAGTGTTGAGTTTTACAACGTGGACAGGTGCCCTCTAGTGAGGCTCCTGCAATCCGACAGGAACTGGCTACGTCAGCAGGAAATAATAAAATTTAGAATACATGGTTAATTATAGACTTTATTTGAACACAAAGCTTGAGGACAGCCACCTCAAACCTCAATTCCAAATGAAGGGGGCCCCTGTTCCCAAGTAGAGACGTTAAGGTTTCACACAGGGAAGAGAAGCTTTAGCAGAATCCGTTTTCCATTCAAGACCATAGGCTGCAGCAGCCGGATTGGTGACGGATTGATACACTTCAAAGAAGGTTACTTTATCACTCCAGAACAAGGGACAATGATGCCACGAGGTCTTATCTCTGGGGCTGCTTAGTCTTCCTATTTACAGGAAAACTGTTTTGTTTTTTTAATTGGCATTAGGAAACTAAATTTTATTGCACTTTTTTTTTTTTTTTTTTTAGTACAGAGTCTTGCTCTGTCACCCAGGCTTCTGGTGTGCAGTGGCACGATCTTGGCTCACCGCAGCCTCCATCTCCCAGGTTCAAGCAATTCTCCTGCCTCAGCCTCCCAGTAGCTGGGAATACAGGCGCGCCTGCCCTGTGTGCTTTTTAATATTTTTTAGTAGAGACGGGGTTTCACCAGGATTGACCCAGGCGTTCTGTTCTGGCCTCCACCGTGATCCTTGGCCTCAGCCTCCCAAAGTGCTGGGATTACAGGCATGAGCCACCACCTTGCCAGCAAATTCTTGAAGTTGCGCCTGCATGCCCACTGGACTCAGGTTGCATGACCACGTTCCTCTCAAGGCTCAGAATTATTTAAATGTCTGCTGTAACTATTGGAAATATTTGATGTTGAATTATTTAACTTCCTACTGAATATGGTGTTCTCCCTACATAGTTACCTTACAAGGACGCTCCCAATCACGCTAGAAATACATCTCTCTGGGTCATTAAGCTGAAAAAGTTTTAGTTACTCTCTAGAAAAATACCACTTCAGGCCAGGCACAGTGGCTCAAGCCTGTACTCCCAGCGTTTTGGGAGGTCAAGGAGGACAGATGGCCTGAGTCGGAGGTTGAGATTCCAGCCTGACCAATATGGAGAAACCCCGTCTCTCCTGCTGGTCAAGTGCACCTGGCTGTTCAAAGTGCCTGTGTTCAGCTACTCAGAGGCTGAGGCAGGAAAGTGCCTGAGCCCAGAAACGGAGGTTGTGGTAACAGGCCAAGATCGCGCCATTGCACTCCAGCCTGGGCAACAAGAGTGAAACTCCGTCTCAAAAATAAATAATAAAAAATAATAATAAATACAAATGGGTCAGTGGCTCCTTACACAGGCAAGACTCCATCTCAGAAAACAAAACAAAAAACAAAAAACACGCTACCAGTTACACAGTAAGGCGTCCTCAAAAACAAAGGAAATGCCTCCTCTTTAAGTTTTTTTTTTTTTTTTTTTTTTTGAGACGGAGTCTCGCTCATCACCCAGGCTGGAGTGCAGTGGCGCGATCTCCGCTTGCTGCAAGCTTCTTCTCCCAGGTTCACGCCATTCTCCTGCTTCAGCCTGCTGAGTATCTGGAACTGCAGGCGCCCACCACACACCCAGCTAATTTTTATATTTTACTAGGGCAGGAGTCTCACCGTGTTACCAGGATGGTTTCAATCTCCTGACCTCGTGATCCTCCCACCTCGGCCTCCCAAAGTGCTGGGATTACAGGCGTCAGCCACCGCGCCCAGCCTAAGTTTTTTTTACATAGGCGCCTAGGTAAAACTAAGATATGTCTACCTGCTGGTCGGCTGACAGTCTATAAAACTATCATTTTGTTGATTTAAAGGTATTCTTGACTGGTCGCGGCGGCTCATACCTGTAATCCCAGCACTCTGAAAGGCTGAAGTCGGAAGTCCTGAGGTTAGGAGTTCGAGACCAGCCTGAACAACATGATTGAAAGCCCATCTCTACTGAAAATGCAACAATTAGCTGGGTGTGGTGGCACATGCCTGTAATCCTAGCTGACTGGGGATACTAAGGCAGGGAGGGTGTTTGAACCCAGAAAGGCGGAGGATTGCAGTAGTGATTATTACATTGCACTCCAGTGTGGACAAGTGTGAAACTGCATTAAAAAAGAAAAGCTATCGTTGGTATTTTGGCGTGGGTGCTTGAAAGCATGACTGGGCCGGGCGCGGTGGCTCACGTCTGTAATCCCAGCACTTTGGGAGGCGAGGTGGGTGAGTCCTGCAAGGTCAGGAGTTCGAGACCATCCTGGCTAACATGGTGAAACCCCGTCTCTACTAAAATTACAAAAAATTAGCCGGGCGTGGTGGCGGGCACCTGTAGTCCCAGCTACTTGGGAAGCTGAGGCAGGAGAATGGCGTGAACCCGGAGGCGGAGCTTGCAGTGAGCCGAGATTGTGCCACTGCACACTCCAGCCTGGGCGACAGAGCGAGACTCCGTCTCAAAAAAAAAAAAAAAAAAAAAAAAAAAAGAAAGAAAACATAGCTGTAATTATCTTAGAAGCATACATTGTCATAGGATGTTAGGTCCATAAAGGACATTGTGTTTCTGTAGGAGTTTGTTCTTACAGGTACTATTAAACATTTTTGTAACTGTAAACATCTTAAGATCGTGACTCATGCGTGAGCAGTAAGGAACACGTCTGGCTAGGTTTACTGGACTTAAACTTTGTCATTCTAGCTCTCCTAGGATTCTATTTGAATAGTTTCCACTCATGCACCACAGAGCTCTAGGCACAATTATGGAGACACCACTCTCTTATAATGTGCGAGATCAGCCTACCACTGTACTTTAGCCTGGGCGACAGAGTGGGATAACTCCGTCTCCAAAAGAAGAAAAGAAAAAAAACTCATCCAAATCAGAAAGAAGAAGAAAAATTGTAATTATTTGCCAGATGATGACATATGATCTTTTAATAACTCAAAATCAATAAAATCTATGAAATAATAAACACATTCAGTGGATTTGCAGAATACAATATCAGCACCAAAAATTAGTTGAATTTCCATACATTAACAATAAACAATTTTTTTTTTTTTTTGAGACAGAGTCTCGTCTGCTCTTAGCAAGTCCCAGTCGTGAATCAACTCACTGCAACTCCACACCTCCCGGGTTGCCATTCTACCTCCTCAGCCTCCCGAGTAGCTGCTACAGGCGCCCGCCACCTGCGCCCGGCTAGTTTTTGTATTTTTAGTAGAGATGGGGTTTCACCGTGTTAGCCAGGATGGTCTCGATCTCCTGACCTCGTGATCCGC